AAAAGGTCCTCTGGAAGGAGCTCCACCCACGTCCCAATGGTTGTAACATGACCTCTGGGAGTGAGAGGAGGCTATGGATTTGGGCAAACAGGGGGTAAGAGACGGCCATAGGCAGCCTGAGCACTTCTCTGAGGCTCCTATCTTTAAGAAAGATCAGTCAAAATTACAGATGTAAAGCTAAGTTGTAAAGAAAGGCCAAGGGGGCCCCATGAGGGTGTCCTTGGGATCTGCAGGACTCCCATTTTGAGCCCTCAGCTGAGCTGCCACCCCTGGGGATGTAGCTAGGTGGGTGCTGCTCAACCCTTGGGGTCCAGGCACTGCAGGCTGGAGGCCTCTTGGGCACTGAGCACCCCAAGGCATCCCTCCACCCGACTCCACCAAGCTCCCACTAGCCCACTTGCCATTCTGTCCTCAAAAGTCTTGACCATGATGCCATCAGGGAGTGAGGTAGCCAGCAGAGCCATCTCCTTCCGTACTGTGCTGAAGAACTTGGCTTCTGGAGGCTGGAACTCAATTTTCTTGAAAGAGTGATTTGCTGGAGGCAAAGAAAACAGTCAGTGCCTAACAAAGGCCCTGGCGGCTGCCCTGGGAAGCACGGCCTGTAGGGAATAGCTGCCTGTGCCCAGGTGCCTCCCACCACTGTCCCGTGGGGCAGGCTCAGGGACATGGAGAGGACAAGCCACCTGGCTTCCAGGTGTGTTCGCACAAACAGGAACCTGGAGTGATGAGGGAAGGTGATGGCTGACTCACAGGGTGCAAACTCCAGCACAGAGAAGACCTCGCCCTTGGTGCGGGTGAAGGTGACTCCAGGTTTCCTGCCACACTGCTGGCAGAGCACAGGTGTCTCACTGGGCCACTCCACCTTCACCGGCAACTGCCCCTCAGGGTTGTCATCCTTGCGTTCTGTGTCGGGCACCGCCTCCATCTTCTCCTCCTGTCCAGGGTCTTCTTGAGGTTCTCCTGAAGCTTCTTGATGTCATCCAGAAACTTCTTCTCCCAGGTTGGCTTCTCAGGCTCCACAGTGGGTGAGGTGGGGGAGCCCGTGAGTAGCTCCTCCACTGTCATGTTCTTGAGGCTCTCCAGGATCTTGATGGCCTCTTTCAGTTCCCGGAAACTCTTGGGAGGCGCATCCTTACCAGCTTTCTCCATCAGCCCTGCCATGGGGGCCGCCATGGCCACAGCCCCCTGGATGGCAGCTGTGGCAGCCTCCTCACTGATCACCACCCCCTTGTCCTCCTCAGGGGCTGCTGGCTGCTCCATGGGCAGGATGGGGGGGCTCCTCTGTCTTGGGGTGTTCATCGTCTACCAGCCCATTGTCTATCTCCCAGCTGTCACTGTCGCCCTCCCACTCGTCCGAGGATGCCCCACTGGTGCTGCCTTCTACTGAATCGTAGTCTGACTCCTCAATCTCAGACTCAATGGTGTAGAAGTGCTGGGGGAGAGAGCGCAACAGCAATTCAGACAGGAACTCACTCTGAGGCACTCTGGGGTCCCCGACCTGACTTGCTGAGGCCTTGGAGATCCCCTTCCTCCCTTTTCTGTTTTCAACTTTCCAGCTGAAGCCCTTACTATGCTGTGAGGTCCCCAGGTCTCCACGACAGGCCCTTTGCCCCACTTCCTCCCCAAGCAGGAGCCCAGCTAAGGGCCTATGCAATCACCTCTCTGGGCAAATTGCCATCCTGTGCCTAGAGGGTGGTGCTGAAAGGTCTAAGGGGAAGCCTCAGCAAAGCCTCAGCAAAGAGAGCCCATCTCCAGGACTCAGGCTGGCTACTGGGTAGGCAGGGGGCCTCGTGCTACACCTGGAATGGGTAATCTGACTGGAGGGTTTGGCAGGTACAGAGGAGTTGGCCATGCTGTGTCCTGCTCTTCCCTTGAGTGGCTGCCAAGGCGAGGGACAAGCCATTCTCTGCCTACCTGACCCAACCCCTACTGGGCACCAGGAGAGGGCTGTGAGTTTAGCTCAAGTAGGGGAAAGGGAAGGAGACCAGCCAGGGTAGCTGGAATGGGGCCAGCCTTTCCTTTCTGTCCCTAATCTGTCACTGCGTCTCTAGAAACTATAGTAGCGAAGTCGCTGTCTCCTCTTAGGAAAATATCTTGCCTGTCTCAGCACAGTAGGCAGAGAATCCTGAGCGACCTAGAGGTTGGGAGCAACTATACATACTTGTGAGATTTAGAAAGCCCCTGTCTCCTGTCCCTGGGGCTTGTGGGCAAAAGCTAAAGAGCTGCCTTTAGGCTCTCAGGGATGGGAGCCAGACTAGAACCACCAACCCAGGTGGCCAGGGCCGTACGAGGCCAGTGGTCAGGGCCTTGCCAGCCTCACCTGTGGCAGGATGATAGTTTTTGAGCTGTCAGCTCATACCACCTCCACCTTGCTGCTGACGTCCACACGGGCCACGTGGCCCACTGATGGCTGTGAGACAAAGGGGACAGAGTTAAAGGGGCTCCCTGGAAGGGGTGAGTGCCAGAGTACGTCTGAAGGGCTCTAGTGGTGGGTGGCAGGGGTCAAAGCTGTGACGACGGAGGGACGTGAGCACCTGTAGGTCCCTCTCAATCGCCTCTCAGGATATCTGTCCACACTGCCCATTCCTTGCCTGGAAGTGAAAGCTAAGTGTGGCTTTTCCCAAGTCCCCAGCGATGCCCTTGCACGGGCAGTGCTCTGGCCTCCTTGGCTCTGCACCCCTTCCAGCATGGGGCTTCCCGTCTCCAGAGCTTTGTTCCTGCTTTCTTCCTGTCTGCTATCTTGACCCCTCCCAACAGTCCCACCTCTTCTTTAAAGTCCCATAGCAAAGCCTCGCCTGGATGCGGCTGTGCTGTACTTTGTGCTGGTGTGACTTTAGCTTACAATACAGAGCCAAGAAACATAGCCGGCAGGGCTCAAGAAGCCCCAATCCTTCTGTAAGCATCTGGGCTCCACTGCCTCCTGGGACACAGACCTAGACTTTCAGGTCTTTCCTCCTGGAGCCACCTGGAGGCAGTGTCAAGGATTGCAGTCACTATCAGGGTGGGAACAGCTACCATAATTTGAACTTGGAAAGGTGTGGGGTGGGGGGGTCTGTGAGCTCCTGAGCAGGCATGTGAGCCCCAGGTAGGCTCTTTCCTGGCCTCTGACTGGGCACTGGAGGCTGAGGGAACAAGCTCTGGATTTACCTGTCCCCTGGCTTGAAGTCAAGAGTGATCTTACTCTTCTTCCTCTTGTGTTTCTGCTTTAAGTTCTTGATGGACAAGGGAATACTCTTTTTACGACTTGTACCACTTCCACTCTGGGAGGAGGTGGTGGAGCTGGCAGAGGAGGTCACCGAGCTGGTGTCATCTGTGTCGTCAGCGGCCTCATCATCTGCATCCTGCTCAGCCGAGTGCAGCCCATCATCTCCGCCCTCCTTCAACAGGAAAGGGGGCAGTGGTTCGCCTGCCTCCTGAGGCTCCTCTGGACCCTCATCCTGCATCTCCACAGGGCTGGCTGACCCATCTGGTGGCTCCTCAGGGCTCACAGACCCTGCTTCGCTCTTGGCTCTGGCTTCTCCTTTCTTGTCTGGGTCCTCCATGGAATGGTCTCTGGGACACTGGGTGTCTGGGGTGCAAGACATGATCCTCACAACTTGCTTCTTTAATAGGCACTTCACCTGTAAGGGCAGAGCAGAGAGGACAGGTAACTGTGAAGTGAAGCAGGTGGCAGAGGCTCACTCTGGGCCAGCCTGGCCCCAGGCACCTCTGTCTGGGGGGATTAAAGTTATACAGACCTAAGAGGCCAGCAAGGGCTCTCAGAAGCTGCCCCCCAAGGCCTAAAGCACACTGTCCTTCCTGGCTGTGGAAATGGCTCAAGGCCAGTTCCTCAAAGGCCCACCAACCGCCAACTTCAAGGACATACCTTCTTGGCCATAGAGCCCTCCCCCTGGGCGTAGTTTTTTTCTGGACATTCCCAGGCAATCTTGGCCGGCTCTACCTTGGCTGGGAAGACATACAGACAGCGTTCCCCAAGCTGCCGCTGAGCATGGTCAAAGCATCCGAGACGCTTCACCCTGAAGTGGAGAAGGGGGAGCTTGGCTGGACTTCTGAGAGGTCAGGGATGCTTGGCCCTTCCACACACTTGTGTCCAGGTCAATCGTCCAGGAATTGCACCTGGAATTGGGGGGGGGGGCAGGAGTACACTCACCTGCCTAGGTTTTCCTGAGTGCATTCTCCATTTGGTGAAACTTTCCTTCTCCTTTAGATGATCTGGGTGCTGTCGGCCTCTATACTCCTCCTTGATCAAATCCATGCCCACTCCCAACCCTCTAATTTCTCCCGTGTCTCCCCATCATTTTTTTCTGATAACTTCATATACTCTTTCTTCTTTATTTTTATGGGGCTTTTGGCTATTCTAACACCCCCCTGAAGAGGTAACCCTAAAATCTTTTAAGGATTAGATAGACGCTCCCAAATATTTTCAACATTTTTGGCCTTTGGAATAGAGTATATTGCTAAGAGGCCCAAGGACATTTTGACTTTTAGCCAAGAAACTGGCTACTTTTCTTTGGGGTCTTTTTACCCTAACTGCCT